GTTGCCACCGAATTCCGCTCAGGAGCGAGAGGAGGGACGCCCGCGTACACGAACCCTCGTTGTTCCGCGAATGCGCATGGCGCGAACGCTCGTATCGCGAGGCTGGCCTCGCGGAGGAGGGGGGGGAGGAGGAGGAGGAGGAGGAGGGGAGGTGTGGAGGAGTAGGAGAGGAGGAGGAGGAGGAGGATGAGGAGGTGGAGGAGGAGGAGGAGGAGGCTGGCCTGTGCGCGTGGCCGGGCGCGCACGTCTTCTGTGGGCTCCCCGCTCGTGGCCCCCCCGCCGCCCCCCGCCGTGCGGGGCGAGGGCGAGCCGAGCCGAGAAGCAGGAGCAGCCCCCCGGCCATGCCTCGCGCGGCATCCCCTCGGCAACCCTCGGCCCCCTCCGGCCTATGACCGGCAGCAAGAGAAGTCGGGCGAGAGTGCAGGTCGAGACGGACGCAACCCGAAGCGTCCCTCCTCCTCCTCCTCCTCCTCCTCCTCCTGCTCCTCCTCCTGCTCCTCCTCCTCCTCGCCCTCCTCCTCGCCCTCCTCCTCCTCCTCCTTCTCCTCCTCCTCCTCCTCCTCCTCCTCCTGCCCTCCCCTACTTCTTGGTGGTGGTGGTGGTGGCGGGAACACGGCCCCTCCCCCCCGCCCCCCTCGAGGAGGCGGCCCTCGCCGACTCGCGCCAGGAGGACGTGGACTGCCTCGCCCGGCTCTACGTCGAGAACGGCGGCGACACGCCCGAGGGTCGCGCCCGCCCTCCGCGCGCCTCGCCCCTCCTCGCCTCGCCTCGCCTCGCCTCCGCTCGCTCGCCTCGCCTCGCCCTCCGCTCGCGCGCCCTCCCCCCCCGCGCGTGCCGCCTTCGCTGAAGTCGGGCGTGTCCCCTCTACGGGAGGAGTATTCAAAAATAGTTTTTAACAAATAATGTGGGGACAACCTTTTTACCATTTTTGATGATTTGCAAAGCATTTTCTGTAATGTTTGATTAAATCGCTTCGCTCATTCCGCCGGCCCATATTGCGCACCGCGGTCGACTGGCTGAGAGGTCGTCGGCAGTGCGGAGCTGCAGGGGGCGGCGTTTTTTTTTTTTTACCTAACAGCGAAGACTGATAGGTTTCTAGTGGTCTCAAAAGAGCTCACAGATCACTCCACAGGGGGGTCCGGGCAGGTGTTGGGGCGTTTCCGGGCGGCATGAGCCGGGCTCGTTTTTCACCAACAGTCACACACTTCGTGCTCTTCGCCTTCCCAGAACTCCATTCCCAGGCCACATTCTGGGGGGCCGGATGCAACTGTAGGCCACTTCGTGCTCTTCGACATCCCAGAACGCCACTCCCGGGCCACATTCTGGATGCCCGGAGCCAACTGTAGGCCACTTCGTGCTCTTCGACATCCCAGAACGCCATTCCCGGGCCACATTCTGGATGCCCGGAGCCAACTGTAGGCCACTTCGTGTTCTTCCATTTCCCAGAACTCCATTCCCGGGCCACATTTTGGATGCCCGGAGCCAACTGTAAGCCACTTCGTGCTCTTCGAGTTCCCAGAACTCCATTCCTGGGCTACATTTTGGATGCCCAGAGCCAACTCTAGTCCACTTCCTGGTCTTCGAGTTCCCAGAACTCCATTGCCGGGCAACATTTTGAATAGCCAGACGCTTCATATTCCTTCCGCCACAGCTGTGTTTGGTTCAGGACTTGCTAGTGACACTGCAGTCCTCTGCATTCAATTGGCCACTACATTCATTCACTGCAGTCCACTGAGTTTTGATTGCAATGGCGTTCCCCTGGCCGTACCCCCATGTCCAACGTTCATCCGCAGCCTCTGCTCCGCGAGGCTCGTCCGAAGTGTCGCCGCCTCGCGGTGCTTCTCAGCCTGCGCCGCCTCGCGGTGCTTCTCAGCCTGCGGAGGAAGGTGGACAGACGCCTGGTTCTGGCGCTGTGCAGCCTGCGTCTTTCACGGTCGCCTCGTTCAATTTCGGGTTCGAGCAGGGCATGATGACTGGTAAGCAGGCGGCCACTCACTGCGCTAACTTCGGAAGGTTGTGCGCCAAGATAGTGGAGACCGCTGATGCTGATATGGTCTGTGGCTGCGAGGTCGGTGCGTTCCGTGAAGGCTTTCGCCGAGCAGGGATCAACGTGACAGAGATCCTCAGTAAGCCTTTCGGTGATGGCATTCGCTTCTTGGAGGTCGACAACTACTTGACTCTCTGGGGGTTCCGCGGTGCTTCTCAGCCTGCGGAACTGACTCTGTGCGAAGACAGCAAAGTTTACAGGCCTCCTAGCGGCCGAGATATTGATGCTGTTATTTCACATTTTGAGGTGAACAAACCAGGCCATGACAAGTTCCACGTGGTGATCGCCAACATGCACATCGTGTGCGGCAAGAAACCGCCGAGCATCCAGACTCGAAAGCGGACAGTTCGCCATCTCCGCTTGCACCTGGACGGCCTGGCCAAGATTCTTGAGAATCTAAACGAGGCAGTCGTTGTGCTTGTAGTCGGCGACGACAACCTCACTTTCCAGGAGGCGCGGGAGGCTTACCAGCGCGAGCAGAACGACGAGAAGGTATGGGAGGTCCATGCCACTCCGGCCGACCTCAAAGGCGACCACGTCGCGGTCTGCGGAGCAGTCGCCCGTTTCTGCTCCATTGCCGTTGGCGCGTCTTTTACGGATCGTGGCATGCGCAACGACGCACACGATGCGGTGGCGGTTGTGCTCACTCTCCCTGGTGCTATTCAGCCTGGGGAGAGCAAGAGGCGGAAAATTGTCGTCGAAAACGTCTCCGACGCCGACGTCAGCGTACAGGCGGACCGCGAGTCTTCTGTGCATTGGGATCGGTCGCCGAGTTCTGCTCCTCCGCTTTCACCGACTTCACCGGGTGATCCCGACTACGTCCCGGAGGTTCTCTGAAGCTTATTTTAAGCTTCAACATGAAAAAGCTTAAAATAAGCTCTGAAGCTTATTTATAAGCTCTAGGTGGCTTGTGCTATAGATTTGTTGTTTTTCCCTTGCTGGATGATCGAAGTTTTGCGTTGCTCCGTTTGTTTCTGGACACT